GGATGGATGGATGGATGGATGGATGGATGGATAATGGTTTATCTGCATGTGTGTATGTTTATGGTAACATGCATGTCTGGTGCAGGAGGCCAGAAGAGGGTTATGGATCCCCTGAAAATGGAGTTGCAAATCGTTCTCAGTAGCCATGAAGGTGCTCTGAATAGAGCAGCATCCTCTGGAAGAGCAGTCAGTGCTCTTCACCACTGAGCCATGGCTCCAGATCCTTGTTTTATGTACGATGTAGGTGATTCAGGCTTGAGTTTGATTCTATTGAATATATTCTGGGGCAGAAAACCGATTTACACAAGTTGCCCTGTGGCTTACACACACTTTCTCTCCAAATAAGTGTAAAAAAATTTTTTCTCTATAAGAAATGACTCCTTGCCAGGGAGTAGGGGTGGGGGGGGTGGTGCACGCCTTAATCCCAGCACACGGGAGGCAGAGGCAGGTGTACATCTGTGAGTTCAAGACCAGCCTGGTCTACAGATCGAGTTCCAGGACAGCCTCCAAAGCCACAGAAAAACCCTGTCTCAAAAAACAAAAGAAAAAAGAAATGACTCCTTAGATAGTACTAATTACAACAGTAATTTTATTTTTCTTGAGGTCTTGAAAGTTTCCTGGTCATTATTAAGGTGTCTAAATAGTTGTCATCAGAAATTATGCATAATAGAATTGGCCTACTTGTTTTGTAGAGAGGTTTAACTGAGTCAAGTAGAATAATTTCAGGTGGTTCTTCTTATAGCTCTCATTATTTTGTCTTGAAAATTATGCTTCTAGAATTTTTTTAATCTATATGCCTCTTGATTGTAAATACATTTTATAGATATTTTTTATTTGAGCTGGAGAGATGGCTCTAATATTAAAGGCTAGCTAGGTCATCCAAAGCATAAGATTTTTATTTATTTCTATGTGTATGGTTATTTTGCCTTCCCGTTTTGTTTTGTTTTAAGATTTATTTATGTATCTGTGTGTGTGTCTGAGTCTATGCTACATGAATACAGGTGTCCTTAGAGTGTAGGAGAGCATCTTATGGCCTCATTGGGCACTGGCACATTGATGACACATACCACATACATGCAGGCAAGACTCCTACACATAAAAAAAAGTCTGGGGGTGGTGGCACATACATTTTACTCCATACTCAAGAAGCAGAGGCAAATCTCTGAGCTGGAGGCTAACTTGGTCCACATAGTTTCAGACAAGCCAAGCTACCTAGTGAAACCTTACCCAAATAAATCCATCTAAAAAACAAAGGTGGCCAATGGTGGTTTTAGATTTTTTAGAAAGATGTTTTGTTTATGTATACAGTGTTCTGCCTGCATGTATGCCTGCCCACCAGAATTCATTATAGTTGGTTGTGAGCCACCATGTGGTTGATGGGAACTAAACTCAGGACCGTTGGAAGAGCAACCAGTGCTCTTAACCATTGAGTTGTCTCTCCAATACCTTTTAGAGCATGCGTTTAATGCCAACACTGGGGAGGCAGAAGGCAGGCAGATCTCTGAGTTCAAGGTCAGCCTGATCTGATCTGAAAAGCCATTTCCAGGACATCTAGGACTGTTATACAGAGAAACCCTCTTGAAAAATAGTCAATTAGCTATGAAATTGGAAAGATAGGGATGGGAGAGATAGCCCAGTAATCAAAGAACACTGGCTGCAATGCCAGAGGACCTGGGTTCAATTCCCAGAGCCCACATGGCAGCTCAAAAGTGTCTAACTTCAGTTCCAGGAACTGACACCTTCGTATCAATGCACATAAAACAAATTTTAATAAAAATAAATTTAAAGAAATGTAAAGGGGGAACTTATGTTTAAATGTCATTTTAAATGCTACCACAAATGAAAAGAAACCAAGTATTTGCTTTATTTAAAAATAAATATATATATAAATAATGGCTGGGGGGTGGTGGCCCATGACTTTAGTCCCAGAACACAGGGGGGAGTGTAAGGTGGACCTCTGGTCTACAAAGCAAGTTTAGGACAGACAGGGCTATACAGAGAAACCCTATTTCAAAAAAAAAAAAAAAAAGTCACTAGGTGGTAATTGTATGCCCCTTTAGAAGCAGAGGCAGGTAGGTATCAGTGAGTATGAGGCCAGCCTGGTCTACAGAGTTCCAGGACAGCTAGTACAGTTACACACAGAATTCCTCTCAAAAAACAAGTCAACCTTAGCTGGGCATTTGTGGCGCACGCCTTTAATCCCAGCACTTGGGAGGCAGAGGCAGGGGGATCTCTGTGAGTTCGAGGCCCACCTGGTCTCCAGAGAGAGTGCCAGAATATGCTCCAAAGCTACACAGAGAAACCCTGTCTCGAAAAAAACAAAACAACAAAAAAGTCAAAATATAGGTCAATAATGCAAGATATCAAATAATGGTGGAAGTGAGCTGGGACCATGGCTTCCCAGGTAAGACGGTTGCTTGGCAGACACATGAATTCCCCAAAACAAAGCTGGCTAGCATAATCAGGAGACTAGCCATATTAAGTTCTTGGTTTCACTGAGAGACCTTGCCTTAAAGAATAAGGTTAAGTAGTCTCTCTCAGTGTATTTTATAAACACAATGAAATTTTATAATAAGAAATGTTAGGGCTGGAGAGATGATTCAGTGGTTTCCATCCTTTTCAAAAGTAGTTGTGGGCTGGAGAGAAGGCTCAGGAGTTAGGAACGCTATTTGGTGCACGCCTTTAATGCCAGCACTCAGTTCAAGGCCAGCCTGGTCTGTCTATAGAGCAAGTTCCAGGACAGCCAGGGCTACACAAAGTAACCCAGTCTCAAAAGAACCTGGGGGTGGAGGGTTACTGCTCTTCCAGAGGACACAGGTCAATTTCCAGCATGCACATGGTTTTCACAACTGTAACTCCATGAGAAACCTATGTCCTCTATGGTATCCATGGCACCAGGAATACACTTAGTGCAAATACAAATACAATACTGTTCTGGAACTATGTAATCTAGGCTAATTTTGCCTCTGCTTCCCAAGTGCTACCCCAAAAAAAAAAAAAAAAAAAA